GCAGACTATAGAAGACAGTTGCGTCTGCCACTTCTGGGAATTTCCTTCCGCTCTAACTTTTTTACGCTAACGCACACTTTGCAATGCATCCAACACGGAAAATTAATCATCCTCAACTCCGCACAGGTTGATTCAGCATTGGGCGAGGATATCTCAGATGAGAACCCGACGCTTTGCAAAACAACTCATTGCAAGTGGAATGAAGCCCGATGTCCAGGCGCGTCTGTTTGTGCCCATCTGGACCTGTTTTGCGACGGGAAATTGGGCGCCTGTCCCGGAAATAGCGACGAATGGAATTTCTGCAGGAACAAATCAGTGTCCTGCGATCGAATGCAGTGCACGTACAAGTGCAAACCTACACCTCAAGGTACCACAACCGAAACATAGTTTTTTTATATTTTGCAAGCTACTAATTCAAGCGTCTCTCCTCAGGTCCTCAGTGCTATTGCCCAGAAGGAAAACGGCCTGATGGCATCAACTGCGTTGATGCCAATGAGTGCGTGTATGATGAAACTTGTTCGCAAATCTGCACCAACACTGAAGGCTCATTCAAGTGCTCCTGCGTCTCGGGGTACTACCAGAATGGTACCAACTGTATTGCCATCAATGGTACGATTACGATTTCTTTCGCGTTTGATATGGAGTAATAATGCAAAAAAGGAAGGATTTTATGCGGACGTTTTACGGTCACCCTCCTTGATACGTGTAGGGACCCCTCGCAAGCAATCTACCTATTAACTTCTGTTCATTTGATAAGTAATGTTGAGATGTCAGCGGCCGACATAATGAGGAAGTAAGTAATGAGGGCCACGAATCGATGAGATCAAACAACTGGCGACCAAACCACTCGTTCTGGGGAACTTTATGCCACCATTAAACTTATTTTCATGCACATAGTTAACGCGTTAATAAATTCTAGGCCTGTTCAAGTAAACAATTGTGGGCTCCCAGCCAAGCAATCTAAATGTTCAGTGCTTTGGAATAAATTGTACTCTGGCATGCCGGCTAGCGATTCGAATAGTTTCAAGCTAAGTTATTAATTAGGTGCCCAGACAGTTCAAACAGTGAAACTAATGGGTTTTTCGGGTTTTCAGGCCGTCGTTCGGCAGAATTTCTTCCGGACGTTTCGCAAGCACGAGTGGCTTGCATCTTCAGAAGTGGTTTGCTTGAACGCTTACACTGTTCTCATCAGAACCCGTTCA